TGACCAGAAGTTAGAGAAGTGTTGATGAAATGGGTGAGAAATGGTAGAATATCAGGAGCGATAGTCTGAAGGAGGTTTGAGGGGATAGGGTCCAGAGAACAGGTGGTAGGACGGGCAGAGGTAACGAGGGTAAGAAGGGTAAGAACCTCACTTGTAATAGAACAATAATGTCATTGTTAGCTAATGAATGTTTCCATGGTGACCAACGGCAACATGACAACGTTTTCATTGGTCCCTCTTCTTTAGAGAAGACCAGGAAATGATGGATACACGGATCGTGTTCAAATCAATAGGCACGTAATGACTCTAAATAATAATGATCACGCCACCAAACACACATTGAAACTAAAGGAACCAGCCTGTTTGGGAAATGTGAGAAGTAGAAAGTACAGGTATTAGTGTTCAAAATGTAAGAAGTCAAAGTAAAAAGTCGTTGTAAGTAGTGGAGTAAAGATGGCCATGTACCTGCACACAGGAAGAGAGAAACACACTGAATCAAACCTGAAATTCCACTATGTAAAGTAATGCAAATAAATAATGTTTTTCTGAATCAAATACTCCGAAGGACCAACTGAAGCACATGGGGTGTGTTCGGCCTGACCTGGAAATGTGAGGTATTTTTCCACTTTACTTTTAGGCATTGAAGACACGTACACAAGTTTTTGTAAATATAGCTTTTATATGCAGTTAGGTATTTTGTTTACTACCTCACAATATTTAAGTTCACTGACAATAGAGGTTTAGTAAAACTCTAAAAAGACTATGACTCCTTATTATGTAGATTAATGAAGCAACATAACATTCAGTGGTGGTATAAATTGTTAAAATAAAACAGGAAATTATACACACACAAAACTAAAATCATGACATAAACATACCCATGAACAGAAAATACCCCTGAATACCCATGCACCTGTGGAGAAGGCTGTAGAAGTGAGAAGTTAAAAGAATAGCTTTGCTAAAGCTAAACATAGCCTGAGGATTTCAGCTTGATCGAGCCGTTATTGTGCACCGAAACAGGAACCTGTTCCTTTTGAAGTCTGCACACATCTTGATGCTGAGCTTCCAGTTTATTTGACCAGTGACTGCTGTATTGAACGTATTGAATGTATTGAACTTTTGCTGACAGTCTCTTTCAGTCTGACTTCACCACTACAGCTTTTTTCTACATACAAAACAAACCATTTATACATAATAACAGCTATTTGTAAAGAGGACTTTCTGAAACCTAAAAGCTTGAAATACTTTTCAAACCAAGAGTAGTCCTTTCAGACATCTGGCTGTACACAAGCACGATTTTGTGGCAGGACATAACAGACTTTTGAATGGTTATTGTTTGATACCATCATCATTTCCTAAAGCACGAGACCCTCTAAGACTACTAAGATATCCAGAAAATAATCATTTAAAAGAATTCACATTTGAGAAGCTGGAACCAAAGCACAATTCTTATAATTAAATGGTCCTTAAAAGAAATGCTAACCAACCAATTAACTCATTGTTTCAGCCTTGGTAATCATTCAATAATCTAAAATGTATCAACATCTTCAGTAGCTTAAGTAATTACACCTTTCTCAAGAGGTTTTTCAGGGCTGTTTTCCACTTTGAGAGGAGACATTTTAATCAAGAAGCTGACGTAAGTGTTGCAAACAGCTGGAGCCTCACTTTGGGAACTGACCAGAAAAACTATAATTTGTTGATTTGATGGATTAAGCTGTATATTAGCTGCACACTTGATGCACAGCTGGGACACAATGAGACCCAGTGGAAGATGTTCAGCTGGTCTACAGACTAACGAGGGAAACTGGAACCACTGTGACTGTCCCGGATAAACAGAGATTATCCATCTTCCCTCCCTGCACATGCTGTTTATAGATGACGGAGGTTGTCAGCATTGATAAATGGAACATGGAGGGCTGCTTGTCATAAAGTCTCAGCGTCTGCCGATGATGGATCTGGTTCAGGAGCTGAGAGAAGGCCCTGAAGAAGCTTTTATTGTAGGCAAACGTAAATCATCAAAAGAGATCTGTTCGATGTGGAGCAATCATTAAATTGCCTATTTTTCTGGCAATAAAGGTTCTGAACTTAAGCCAAAGAGGTGTCTGTCCTTTTGTACTTCGCTGCAGACTGCTTGACACTCTGTAAAGCCCCTGTCACACTGTCCCGAAATTGACACCCGATGGACACACGATTAAGGAAATGTTCAAATTCGGCTCTGATCGTAACAACATCGGGCCATTCGTGAGGGCATCTTAAGCCATCGCATGCCCGCCGGTGGAGTTTCTTAGGCTCCGGCAGCAACTTCGTGAGCGGCAACTTCGTAAGGCACTCGTGAGGGCATCTTGTCAAATCGTGAGGGCATCTTGTTATCATCGGTGCCATCGGGCATTCGCCCTCACTCTGATCGGGGCGAATTCCCGATGACACCGATAATAACAAGATGCTCTCACGATGGCCTTACGAAGGGCAAAATTGACACACGAATTCAACACGAAAATGAACCTTCGCAAGGTCCTTCGGCAATTTTTTGGCATGCCAAAGATTTTGCCACCGCTCACGAAGTTGCTGCCGGAGCCTAAGAAACTCCACCGGCGGTTCCATACAGGCTTAAGATGCCCTCACATGTCTCCAATGTTGTTACGTCAGAGCCTCCGAATTTGAACTTTTCCTTTATCGTGTGTCCATCGGGTTGTTTTATTGCACAACAAAATCATGTAAACATATTATGTAAATAACCCAAGTTGTGTTCTGTGAAACTGAAAAGGATATAAAATATTATTTTGAAGGCGAGTTGACAGGAAGTTGTTGTTGCTATGGAAACAACATTACGGAGAAAACTTAATATCTTCTACATATAAAGACGGAGAAAGTAAAGAAAAAAGTCTGAAAATATCAGTACAGTATCATAGTACTTTAACATAATCGTTTTTGTTACTTTCGTTGCAGTTGTATGTCTTAAATGTAATGTAAATGTTGCCTTCGTGTGTGGTTCGGGGCCATCTTCGTGCGAAATTCACAATTCTATATTCATGTGTCCATCGGGTGTCAATTTCGGGACAGTGTGACAGGGGCTTATTGATGTACCTTCTTGCACGAATAAACTCCCTAAAAGTCTTATTCCAAGAATCTTCATTTCAGTATAACGTAAGGTTTCCTCACCATCTTATTATTTGTTAGTTAGTCTCTATACATTTCCGCCACACTCTTTAAAGGTCCCCTATTATACTGTTTTTCATCAATATATTATAGGTCTCAGATATATACAGAACATGTCTCTGAAGTGTTTGGCTCCAAATACCAAACAGATCATTGCAGCATCCCATAATGAAAATAAGGAGCCCCTCCCCACGCCCCTCTGAGAGATATTTGGTTACAAAGAACACAATGGTGCTCTAGGAGGAGATTCAGGTGATAAGGGGGGGGGGGGGGGGGTACCCTTGGTTTGGTGATTGGCTAATGGTTACACAAGCCCAAAACATCGTTTAGACATCTAATAAAGTGTCCAAAACTGAAGTCGTCTCATTTTCAGACAGGTTTTCATATAAATGGATCAGGACAAAAAGAGAGAGAATCTTTGTTCCTGAAACTTTCAGAGTCTCTTTACACAGAGGGAACACATGTTGATGTAGAAGAGACATGAAGAAGAGGAGACACATGTTGATGTAGAAGAGACATGAAGAAGAGGGGACACATGTTGATGTAGAAGAGACATGAACAATTAGATTTTGCATAATAGCTCCCCTTTAAACTCCATGATGAAGGTGTAGTTGTCTCACCTGTCCACAGCGATGGCCAGCAGAGCGTTAGTGGATACGTAGAGGGAGACGGTGCGCAGGTAGTTGGTGGCGGCGCAGAGAAGAAGTCCGTGATTCCAGGACAGCTGCTTCACCACGTAGTAGTCGAGCAGAAACGGGCAACAAACGGTCGCCACCAACACGTCCGAAACAGCCAGGTTAGCGATCAACAGGTTGGTGAGATTTCGGAGCTGCTTGTAGCGAGCGAGGCTGGCGATGAACAGGCAGTTTCCCACGCCACAAACCAACATGATGCCCACCAGAACCACCGCGATGACGATGGTGGCCACGAAGAAGGCTCGGCCCTGGGTGGTGTCCGGGATCTCGTCCAGAGGAATCTCGTAGTCCAGGACGTCGCCAGACAGGAAGTAGTCCGGTAGACCCAAGCTGCTGTTGGTCCTGTTGTCCATTTTGATTTAGGTCAACATGCTGAGGTGGAAATGTCTGCAGGAAAGTGCATCATTAAAAATCATAAAATAAAAAATCAGTAACGCAGAATAAACAGCAAGCGTAAAAGCATATTAATCAGAAAAGCAACAACTACATGATGACTTTTCTATTGTACTCCTAGATCAAATAAATCTACTGTTCCACGGTCAAGAATGAACTTCTAATCTCAGCTTTTAAAGAGGACATATTCTGCTCATTTTCAGGTTCATATCAGTATGTAGTGCCTCTACTGGGACATGTCTCCATGCTTCAATGTTCAAAAAGCTCTTTATTCCTCTCATACTGCCTGTGCTGCAGCACCTCTTTTCACCCTCTGTCTGAAACCAGAGCCCAGTCTGCTCTGATTGGTTAGCTGGCCGGCTCTGTTGGGATTGGTCAACGGCTTAGAGATGTCCCACCCCTTAGCCTATCACGTACAATGTGTTGGAGCGCTATCCAATAGAAGCGCGAGTGTTACATGGTGATGTCACTATGTTCCAGAAATAGAGTCCAATGGAAACATTTCAGCAAGGGAGGAGAAACTCACTTTTTAGCCTTTGCAGGCTATTTACATGCACAAAAACCTACATAACACACTACAGGAAAGAAAAAAACAGCATCTTGAACAAAAATGAACACCAGGAGATAACAAAGGATTAACGATACAGAGTTATTTTTGTTTGCGAGTTGAATGGGAAGATTATTTGGCTCTTGTGCGTCAGTGAAAACATTACTGCTTGACTTTCTGTAAATCACACCGGCACCGACTCTGACACTTTTACCGTAAAGACTCTAGATACAGTGTTGGACACACAGAGAGCTGTTTGGCCGCTCAGTGTGACTCCAGACCTCTGAGGGCTTTGACTCACGTGTTTCGTAGTTTTGCTGATGGTGTTGCTAGGTTACAGTGTTCATGTGTAGTCCTCTTGTTAGATTTGTCCGCAGGTCGGGGAATGTCTTAGCTCTGACATCTGAAAGAATCTTTTACTGCCCGACACAAGAGGTTTGTTTACCAAGATTTATCAAGAGAGGAATTAAAGTCAAGCAAAGTTATTAAATCCACACTGTCAAATCACTCTGTCATAAACAAAAGTCATGCATTGGAAATCTGTTTTAAGGAAGATTTTGTAGTGACAGTTAAAGTCGCTTATTTGTACAGCTAATGGAAGTATTAATTCATACCTGCTGTAGAGATATTAAATTATATTAGATTATATTAGATCAAAACAGGGGATCCTTAATCAATTTGACCAGACTATGGAAGTGTTTTATTGACCAATTAATAGATGAAGGGATAAAAAATATTAAGATTCATGACTCATATTAAAGAGGACCTATTATGCATTTTGGGGTTTAGTTTTTTTTGCATGTAAATGGTCTTTAAAGCCTAAAATCCCTGTGTTCCCTCCAGAGGGACTTTCTGTCCACACTCCCCCCCCGATTGAAACACCTCCATAGAGAGGCGAAGTCCCTCCCTTTCCGGGGGACCTCCATGGGACCTTATTTCGGAAAAATCATGTATTGAAGTCAATGGAGAGAGAAAGATTATCTTTTGATCCCGTTTGAATTGTGCAACGAATTACACATATGATGTTTGTCAATTTAAAAGATAATTTTGCAAGTCAAAAAAAGAAAAATGTGTCGTAAAACTGTGAAGTAACACATTGTTTGTGTGAAGCGCTCAATGAACTACAACTCTGGTCTTGCATACATCACCAACACCAAGACGGCCGTCACGTTGGCACATTTCACCTCTATATTTTCAGAATGAAGTGAAAAGTATTAAAAGAGGTGAAAATCAATACAAGTCTGGCCATGTTGAGAACTGTACAGACACGAAAGGGGAGTTAGTCGGTTCCGTAAGAGTCAGCATGCGGGACCGGCTTTACAAGGTTTCGGTGAGTAACATGAGTGTAATGTGTAACGTTAATGTACGCGACTCTGGGATTTGTAGTCTTTCTAGTTTCGTATTTTTCATAGTCTTATATTTCAACAGTTTTAAGACAAACTGTGGCTTTTTTGACATGGAAATTATTTTTTAAGATTGACAAACATCATATGTGTAATTCATGGCACAATTCAAACGGGATCGAAAGATAAGTTTTCTCTCTCCATTTACTTCAATACATAATATTTCCGTAATAAGGTCCCATGAAGCGGAAGTAGATGGGCGTGACTTCGCCACTCTATTGGATTCCTTTGTTTTCTTCCAGAACATAGTGATATCACTATACACTCGCGAGCATTGTACTTGATAGGCTAAGGGGACGGACATCTTTAAGTGGTTGACCAATCACAACAGAGCCGGCCAGCTAACCAATCAGAGCAGACTGGGCTCTGGTTTCAGACCGAGGGTAAAAAGAGGTGCTGCAGCACGAGAAATGAGAAAGTATGAGAAAAATAAAGACCTTTTTGAACATTAAAGCATGGAGACATGTCAAAGTAGAGACACTACATGCTGATATGAACCTGAAAATGAGAATAATATGTCCTCTTTAAAAATATTAATGATCACATTGACAAAGTTGACATAAAAGATAATTGTTTAATCATGATTTATAATACATTCCCCAACTATATAAATTGTAACTCAACATGTTTTCTACCAGAAACAAATTAAAAACACTTAAAATGACATGATATTGTTAGGTTTCTGAGAATAAAGTGCGATCTAATGAAATGTGAATGCCATTTTTCAATACTTGA